CCCCAGCCCTTGATTGCAGTTTTTAATGAAAGAAAATATGGCAGTGTTTCATGTGGTAGTAATCTTTAACTCAAAGTCATAACCATCAAACACTTAAGTTTTTTTGTTGTAAACAGTTTCAGATTGGTTGGGAAAGTTCACACTTTCATTGCAGAAAATGAATACAGTTATGACATTTAAAGAGAAATTGCAACATTTAGATATAGCTTGTTTGAGCAATTTTCAGCTTTTGCATTGTGCAGGAAAGGACATGGCTAAAATCAACTTAATTCTAGCTTTGCCAAACCATCTTCGAATTGCATCCATATTTGCACAACTTTTTTGGCTACCTACTTTGAAAACTATGCATTTAAAGGTAATACCCTTCCAAAACGTATTGTTTCTCATCTCCTTGTAAATTAACAAATAGATTATTTGTATTTTAAGATCTTTAATCAGGTTTACCTAATGTGTATGTTATCTTTAAATGCCACCTTTTTTTTTTTTTTAGTCACTGTTCTTGTCTTTTTTTATGGTTCTGGAACTCAAACCCAGGGTCTCACTCATGCTAGACAAGTGTTCTACCATTGAACTACATCCCCAGTCCAGGAAAACTTTTTATTTATTTTTATTTGCTCTTTTTAGAGATATACAACAGTTGAGTATATTTTGACATATTATACATGCATGGAGTATAACTTATTCTAATTAGGGTCCCATTCTTGTGGTTGTACACAATGTAGAGTTTCACTGGTGGTGTATTCATAGGAAGTTATGTCCAATTCATTCTACTATCTATCCTATACCCATCCCTACTCCCTTCCCTTCCTTCCTTTTTGCCTAATCCACTGAATTTGTATTCTTCCTTCCCTCTGTGTGTTGGAATCCACATATCAGAGAGAGCAGTTAGCCTTTGGTGTTTGGGGATTGGCTTATTTTATTTAGCATGTTAGTCTCTAGATCCATCCATTTACCAGCAAAAGTCCTAAAGTCATTCTTCTTTATGGCTGAGTAATAGTCCATTTTATATATACTCACATACACACACACATCACATTTCTCTTTTTTAAAATATTTTTTCTCTTTAAATTTATTTTAATTTGTTATATATGACAGCAGAATGCATTTCAATTCATATTACACATATGGAGCACAATTTTTCATGACTCTGGTTGTACACAAAATAGAGTCACACCATTTGATATATCACATTTTTAATCCATTCATCATTTGTTGAAGGGCACCTAGGTTAGCTCCACAGCTAAAACTGTTTTTTTCCAAAATATGAAGAACACAGTACTGTCATTAATTTAGAGATATGAAGAAAACAGATGAGCAGTAGTAATTTAACACAGGGTTACATGAAACATACAGAAAGCATTTAGATAGGGTGTGGTGGTATACATCTGTATTCTTAGTTACTTGGGAGGCTGAAGCAGAAAGTTTGAAGTTAGCCTGAGAAATTTAGACCTGTCTGAAAAAATAAAAAGGATTGGGATGCAGCTAGAAAAATTACTTGCCTAGCCCTTTGCCTATACCACAAAATAAAAACCACAAAACATTTATCCTACAAGTTTTTTTCTGTTTAGTAACATATAGCTCTTTATGTATAATATCCTTGGTTGGTTATTCCTCAGAATAAACTCTTTGGAGATTCTAATATTTTGAAGGAAATTTTGCTTTGGAAAAATTTGTGTGGAGACTTGATGCAGTGGTTAGTTAACAAGTATTTATTAGTAATATGTGACACTGCATTTAGTTATGCAGTATTAATAAAATTAGTTTACAGTCTGCTGGGTGTGGTGTTGCACACCTGTAACCCCAGCAGCTGGGGAGGCTGAGGCAGGAGGATTGTGAGTTCAAAGCCAGCCTCAGCAAAAGCAAGATGCTAAGCAACTCAGTGAGACCTTATCTCTAAATAAAATACAGAATAGGGTTGTGGATGTGGCTCAGTGGTTGATTGCCTCTGAGTTCAATCCCTGGTACAAAAAAAAAAAAAATTAGTTTACAATCTTAGAATCTGTAGTAAAGAAGTCACTTAGCTATGTGAAGCTATCAATTTATTTTATACTGACTGCACAGAACAATTTTAGGATAAAGACATGGCAGACACACACTAACTACCCTCAGTAATTTAAAAGCTAATTAGGGATGTGGATCATTACAACATGAAGAAGATTTAAGAACACACAAATTTAAGAATATTGGCTTCCTTTTATCAAGAATACTCTATGCATAGTAAACACCATACTGGGAAATTCTTAAGTCATATCATGTTTTACCTAAGAGATTGGCACAGATTAACCTGAATTATGATACTTTCAGTGTTGGCAAAAGTGCGAGTGCACTGGCAGTCTTGCATTCATCTTAAGGGAGTGCAATTTGGTATAGTCTTTCTGGAGCCCAGTTTAACAATATGTTTAAGAAATCTTTAAAATATATATCCTTTGATTCCATAAATTCTGTTTCTAGAAATGTATCCTATAGAAATAACTAGGTAAGGACCCAAAAGTGTTCATTACAGTGTCTATAATAGAAATGCAAACAGCATATATATCCATTATTAGGGGATTATTATGGGATTGATTAAATAAATAATGATGTTGTTAAAACCAGACAATTTTTTCTGAAGCGTGTCTTCATAATTTAGATATCTGTGAACATAGAATGCAATAATAATGTCCTTTCAGTAGACATACAGATGGTAATAGATGAGGCTACGTTAGAGTTGGATTACTGCAGAAACCTGGGAAAATAGTCACACCATATTATTTCTCCTGTCGTTGGCTTGCATAATCGAGTAAAAGGAACTTTGGTTTGGATAGATTCAATTAGAGTAAAATACCTGGAGAAAGTGGTATTTTGTTGTTGTTGTTGTTGTTGTTTTGTGAGTTTGGGAGCTTGGAATGGCAGCATTCCTTACTGAGGGAGCATGATGGTTTCTATAGAAGGTGGCAACAAACACAAAGGAAATGATGAATTTTGTGTGTTCTGTCAGTCTCAGATACTTGAATGCATCTGCAAACAGTCTGGAGTCTTTACCTTCTGCCTGTGCTGGGGAGGAGAGTCTGAGTGTGCTGCAGCTGCTTTACCTGACCAGCAACCTCCTCACAGATCAGTGCATACCTGTCCTTGTGGGGCATCCACACCTGCGAATCTTGCACCTCGCAAACAACCAGCTACAGACCTTTCCCGCAAGGTGAATGAATGTAAAATGTTATGCTTTGGGATCATAATAATAATTCTGCATTTGTCAGACTAAATCATAGGTTTCTAACTGTGACATTTCCTTTATAAGTTGACTGGCTTACTGATACTGTGATTTCACTAGTCCCAAAGGAAAAAATCTCATCTTAATAGTTTGTAACCAGTTATTAAATACCAGTACCAAGAGAAATTATGGTTAAAATGTGTTTAATTTTTAGTTCTAATCATTTAATAATTGTCTGAGAATGTTCAACCTGGGAAAGTACAACCTTATGAAATAAAGAAATTCTGAAGATAATTTTTTTCTTTTATCTTTTTAGCACTGTATTACAAATATTGTTGTCTGTTTACTATATGCATATATATGTATATATAAGATGCCTACTGTATGCCAGATACTAGGTACTAGTTGGTTCTCAAGGAATCTAGAGCCATATTGAGGAAATACACAAGTATCTGGGCAGTTGCTATACAGTGTGACTAATGCAAGGTGTTAAAGATGGGCACAGGTTGCCAGCTCTGCTACACAGAGCTTGGGGTGGGTGAGGCCTGGAGGAAGAGATGAACAGAAGCTAGCCAGGCTACTCTGTAAGAAGACAAGAGAGATGGTTAAGGCTCTCAAAGTTTTAGACAGTGTTGGTAGAGAAATATCTTTCAAAATACACTTGATTAAAAAACAATTTTACACCAGAAAAATCCATCTATACCATGAAATTAGTAATTAAAAATTATGCTTTTATAAGTAAGAACATGGGGGAAATGTCATGATACAATTTGAATTAAATGTCATAAAATTATACAATGTTTAATATAATTTGCATGATTCTGATTTTGCAGATTTTCTTGGAAATGTGATAAATTCAGAAAAAAATGAGTTTAATTATTAAAATATTAAAGGTTCTTGAACATTCATGAAATGAGAATAGAGTTTAAGATAACAAACAGCCCAGCAGCTCGGGAGGCTAACCCAGTGGCTGGGAGGCCGAGGCAGGAGAATTGCAAGTTCAAAGCCAGTCTCAGCAAAAACAAGGCATTAAGCAACTCAGTGAGATCCTGTCTCTAAATAAAATACAAAATGGGGCTGGGGATGTGGCTTAGTGGTCGAGTGCCCCTGAATTCAATCCCTGGGACCACCACCCCCTGCCCAAAAAAAGAAAAAAGAAGACAAACAGTATGAACTCGGTTATTTTCTTGAAATAGTTCAAACAGTGACATTTAAATTGAATGTAGAATCTTAATTTTAGGATGTAGTAGATCTCTTAAAATCTTACCACATTAATTTAAGTAGCCTCATTGATAGACCACTGACAGAATATATTCATTTGTGAAACTGATGAATAATACCAGATTTTCTGTTCTGAAACTAATGACTCTCACCCAATTTGATGACACTCTTGTTGGAGGGATCAAAAGCAGGCTAATATAAAACTGAAAACATGTGAAAGAAAATGAAAATAAAAAGTAGTAAAGATGAGAAATAGGAAGAGATGACACAAAATTAGAGTGATCCAATTATAAAACTAAATGGAATTTAGGAGCCATGTATTTAAGAACATGCTAATTTTATATTGAGTAGCAGTCCTCTATCAGGGCATTTCCTGAACAATATTAAAACTCAGGTACAATTCAAATCTTCTTTCTTTTGGACAATTTTCAGAATCTATCACAGTTGTGGGTACTTGGAAAGAAGCTGATTAAGATATGAATACTGCAATTCTATTTACAAGTTAGAAAAATCAAGGTAGGAAGTAGCATAAGGGCAAAGCATGAAAATTGGACATGGGAATGTTTAAAATATATTAAGTTAAAAAAATAAGTAATAATTCAGGCATGGTGGTGCACACTTGTAATCCCAACTACTCAGCCTGCAGGATTATAAGTTTAAGACTAGTTTAGGCAATTTAGCAAGACTCTGATTCAAACTAAAAAAATAAAGAGGGCTGGGGTTGTAACTCAGTGGTAAACCACTCCTGAGATTAATTCCTAGTACTAATCACACACAAAAGTTATAAAACAATTCATCTTTAATATTACATCATTTTTAAAATTTGAAAAATACAGTTTTATGCTTTAAAGACAAGAATACTATCTACCAAAATGTCATCAGGGATTATCTCTGGTAGCAGAATTAAGAGGGTTTTTTTTTTCTATTTTCCATTTTCTCATTTATTTTAGTGATTATGCATTATTGTACTAAAGAAAATTTTTTAGTTAAAAATATTTGTGGATTTTTTAGCAATAGAATATTTGTGAAAGATAGGACATGAAATTAATGTAAAACAAATACTCATTTGAGAAATTTGGTAGGAAATTCAACAAAATTATAATAATTACTCTTTCAGGTTGCTAGTTTATTGCTAATTATTTTCTGAACTTTTTTTCCATATTATAGCAATTTATTTTTATAATTTTTTAAACCAATAAATTAGAGCAATTTGTATTCTGGATAAGGGTGTTGGTTTTAGGAGCACTTTGAGTCCCACGCATAGTGCTGTGTGTACAAACAAGAGCCTGATAAATATTTAGTGGAGATAAATTAGGTTTTGAATAGGTAACTAGAAATTTAAATCTGAAAGGAATCTTGGTGATGATTTAGTACAATTTCTTCATTTTATAGCTGAGGCTGTTGAGGTCTGTTTGATATTACTATACTTGTTATCTACTAATATAGCTAATTAGTGGTGAAGCAAGGACTAGAATTAATCTCTCAACAATAGACCCATGCTTTTTCAGCTCCTTGCAAGTTAGATAACAGGAAGATGTGTGTGTTCAACAGCTTTCAGAAAATCAAGGGCACTGTTAGCCCTCGAAACACACTTGAGTGGGAGATCAGGTACAAAGATAGCAGAGCCAGTTATGGTGGAGAGCCTATGCCTGACTGGTGTCCAGTTGTTTCCTATCACTAGTCCTCTGAGGTCCAGTCCTCTCAAGTACACCAAGCTGGCCTTCCATGCTCAGGGGCTGTAAAATAGCACTTACTTGGCAGCTGTTGTTGTTTTGGTGTAATGTGGTATTTTGATATTTCTTTTTCAGTAAACTAAATAAATTGGAGCAATTGGAGGAACTGAACTTAAGTGGCAACAAGCTTAAAACCATTCCTACAACCATAGCCAACTGCAGAAGGCTGCACACCCTTGTTGCACACTCTAACAACATCAGCATTTTCCCAGAAATATTGCAGTTGCCTCAGATCCAGGTAATTTGATGTGCTGGAAGAAGTCCTGGTGGGGGAAATAGCCAGCATGTGAATGAGATGCCTTTTTTTGAAGCAGGGTGGGGGTGTGTGTGCTGGGTTAGAACCTGCCTCACACTTGCCAGGCAACTGTGGGTCATGTCCCCAGTCCAGAGATGCTTCTCTTCTTAGAAGGAAGAAGAAAGGAGTGTGAATGAGATTGTTCTTTTATAAGGAAGAAATAATATTCTAACATACTCAGATTGGAATTCAAGTATGCTTAATTCATTCCTGGGAAGAAACTAAGTTATCCTTAGAAGATATAATAGGAGATTGAGTATTGGAAATAAAGAACTAAACTAGAATTTATTTTATTTTGATTTCTGTTTCTTCTCAGTTTGTAGACCTAAGTTGCAACGACTTGACAGAAATTCTAATTCCAGAGGCTCTGCCTGCTACGTTACAAGACCTTGACCTAACTGGAAACACGAACCTGGTTCTGGAACACAAGACACTGGACATGTTTAGGTGGGGAAAACAATCTGAAATTAAATCCACATGTGTCTAGAGGCCCACCAATCATCTGTGGGTCTTCTTTAGGACTGTGGACTCTCAGTTAATTAAAGGAACAGAATGAATTAGATCAGAAAGACCTTAGGTTCTCTTCTTTGATTTTGATTCAGCTATAAATGGATGTTCTATTTCATAGTCAGTCTATTTATGTACAACTAAGCGCCATGTGGAATATTTTTACATGGAAGGCACAGATATTTTAGGTGACACAGGTCACATTACAACATCTGAGAGACAATATATGTTAATTTATGCACCAAGGCTTTATTGTATTACAATACTTAAAATAAGTAGATGGTTGGCTGAAACTTACATGTCCCATTAATTGTAATGATATTTGTCTCTGTTTTTCCTCCTATCCCTTTCCTTTATTCTGCATCCAAGCCAGCAGGTTCATCATACTACTTTCTTTTAGCCTGTCTGGAAATACATCTTAGTCTTTCAAGAGATTGTTTTATAAAAACATGTTATTGTTTTTTAAAAGATAATAGACAATATGGTCTAACCTTCTTTCCTTCTACAGCCACATCACAACCCTGAAAATTGATCAAAAACCATTGCCAGCCACAGATTCTACCGTTACATCAACCTTCTGGAGCCATGGACTGGCTGAGATGGCAGGACAGAGAAATAAGTGAGTATGTCGGCCATAGAGGCTAAGAAAGAAAAAAAGCAGCTCCTGCCATCTGGGGACTGGGCTGATGCTCACAGCTGGGCCACAGTAGTTCTGTTGTGCATAAACAAATCACAGAATGTCACCATCAGATAAGATCCCTGAGACTCAGGTAAAGTAAACAAAATGAATGTGCAGGCCACAGAATACCCAGCAGCCCCCTCACAGCTCTTTCCTCATGCTAATTTTCCTTCTCTGTTGATAAGATTTATTGAGGGACTCAACTCTGTAATTGCCCCGATTTCTGATAGCCTACAATGTGATATGATCCTCCATTTCTCAGACTCTCCCAAAAGTGACCCATCCAAAGCCCACATCCTATACTAGGTTCTTTCCAGCACCCTCTTTTTATACAGTCCAGGATTCCATGGTGTGCATTCTTCCTTCCTGCAAGGAATACTAAACCCAACTTCAACCATAGGTATGCTGTGATGGTCTTTGGAATTGACAGACAACATCAATGAAGCCAGTCTCTAATCACTTCTACAGGAACATATGTCACCTTGCCAGCCTTTAACGGCCTTGCAAAGCTGTGTAAATTGCCCGTGAATGGGACTGAATTTCACCTTTTCTTAGGACATCAGGTCTTACAAATGCTGCTTACTTCTGGGGACATTTTTCATGTATAAATTTAAGATTTACCACATTCTTCTCTACCTTCAGATAATAATTATTTATTTACTTTTGGTCCTGGGGTTTGAATTCAGTGGTGCATTTACTACTGAGATACTACCACAGCCCTCCCCCCCGCTTTATTTTGAGATAGGGTCTTGCTAAGTTGCCTGGGCTGGCCTTGAACTTCCAATCCTCCTGCCCCAGCCTCCTGAGTTGGCTTGGATAATAGTCATGCATCAATGTGCCCCGCAAATAACCAGTTTTTAAAAGGATGCTCCCTGAGGAATAATTGTTTACCAGAAGCTTTCTTTGATGATTGTATTTCTTATCTTTCTATTCTAGGCTATGTGTGTCTTCCCTAGCAATGGATAACTTTGCAGAGGGGGTTGGAGCTGTATATGGCATGTTTGATGGGGACCGAAATGAGGAGCTCCCACGCCTGCTGCAATGTACAATGGCAGATGTGCTTTTGGAAGAGGTACAGCAGTCAACAAATGACACAGTTTTCATGACCAACACTTTTTTGGTATCTCACAGGTAAGCAGGTGGGTTGAATAATCCCTAACTCAGCTCTACCTTTGGAAAATAAATCTGAGTCAGAAGGTGAAGATCTAAATTATGGGTGCCAGATCAAGGAGAGACCTACTCCTTCCATGATTATACATCTCAGTATCAGCAGGGATTGTGGGAACATTGGCATGTCATAGAGCCTTTGGAGTCATGTGCCTTCTCTGTTGAACCCAAAGGCTGCTCTTTATGTATAGAAGATTGTGTTTTTATAGATGTATTTGTACATTTTAGGGAGAATGATGGTAAGATTTTATGGTTCTCCAAAGAGTCAAAAGCCTACAAAAGGTTAACATGCACTGGTTAGATTCATTTGTTTAGAATACTTTGTACTGGAGATTTACCCAACTAAGGTTTTTCATTCAAGTCTAAACCACTGAACCAGATATGGTGGCACATTCCTGTAATCCCAGCGGTTTGGGAGGCTGAGGCAAGACAAGTCTTGTTCAAAGCCAGTCTCAGATATTTAGCAAGGCCCTAAGTAACTTAGACTCTGTCTCAAAACAAAAAAAGGGCTGAGGATGTGACTCAGTGGTTTAGTACCCCTGGGTTCATTTCCCTGGTGTCCCCCACAAAAAAGTCTAAGCCACTTAAGGGCAAAACCCCCAACTACTGAAAATCTTGGTAGGTAATGGAGTGTCTTGCACATCTGGTGGGCTGCATAAAAGGATATGAACAACTAAGAGGTTGTAAACTTGTATACTCAAGGCTGAAATGGAACAGTCTGGAGCTCGGGCCAGTTTTAACTGTCATTTACACAAAGCATTGTGTTGGAAAAGGAGTCCACTTTTCTATAGAACTGAGCTGGATACTTGACAAAATTAAGGGTTTTGGAACTCAATTAAGAAGTACATTTGAAGAACCAGGCAAGGTACCATGCATTTTTCATCCTCTTTTTTTTTTTTTTTTTTTTAAATACTGGGGATTGAACCCAGGGATGCTTTACCAATGAATTACATCTCAGTCCTTTTTATTTTTTATTTTGAGACAGGGTTTCACTAAGTTGCTGAGAGTCTCATTAAGTTGCTGAGGCTGGCCTTGAACTTGGTATCCTCCTGTCTCAGCCTCCCAAGTTGCTGAGATTAGAGGCCTGTGCCCTGTGCCTAGCTTCATCCTATATCTTTAATTATCAAAACAAAGCAAACAGGTAGATATTTTATCAGAGAAATTTCTTAGAGAAATAACTTGATGAGAATATGTAGCCAATAAATGACAGAGCTGGAATTTGAAACTAGATTCTTCTGGTAGTGTCTGCTCTGTGTTAGTATTGTGTCCTAAGGGCAGACAGTTCTCAATGTATTTTTCCAGGACTGGTATCCTGACCATCTTCAGAAACTTATTAGGCCAGCCCCTTGCCCAGTGAATCAGAAGCTCCAGGGCTAGGTCCAGCAATCTATGCTCTAACAATCATCAGACTCTCCAGATGATTCTGATATGCCGAAGTTTGAAAACCCCTGATTTAGGAAGACTTTGATCAGACAGACAAGCAATAGAGAAAGATGCACCTGCACTGCCCATCCCCAACTCTCTCTGTAAAGTTCTTTTTTTCCCATCAGCTGAGAGTCAAAGGCAGTATCACCCATAGCAAGAGTCAGCCTTCAGGTGGATAGGGGTGAGGCTGCTTCACAATCCCATGGCAGAAGAATGAGGGAAGGATGGGTATGAAAGACTGCCACTTTTAAACTAGCCACTGTGTCCTCATTTTTCTTTCTTTTTAAACAGGAAATTAGGAATGGCTGGCCAGAAGCTGGGTTCCTCTGCTCTTCTGTGCTACATCCGCCCTGACACTGCTGATCCAACAAGTAGTTTTAGCTTGACTGTGGCTAATGTTGGCACGTGCCAAGCAGTCCTGTGCCGAGGTGGGAAGCCAGTACCCCTTTCGAAAGTTTTCAGCCTGGAACAGGACCTGGAGGAGGCACGAAGGGTGAAGGATCAAAAAGCCATCATTACAGAGGTGCATCTCGCTTTCTGCCAGTCACTTTTGCTTCCCAATTCTAGTGAAAAGTGCTTTGAGTGGAGGCAGTGAAGGTCCATTTTCTTCCTGTCATACCTTGTAAATTGTATTCAATGTAGATAAATGTTCGTTTCAGATGGTTTCAGTAAGAGCGCTAGAAGAAAATCTGAGCAGTTAAGGACTAGCAAAAAGAAGAAGCAAAATTAATTAGAAAAGTCCTAATTTGCAATTAGAACTTTTAAATGAATAGCTAACAAGTAAAATGAATGTTGTGTCTCATTTAGTTCCCAACTCATCTACTTTGCTATTCCAAACAAGACAAAAGATTTCTATTTATTTTTTTTATTTTTATTTTTTGGTACCAGGGATTGAACCCAGGGGCACTTAACCATCGAGCTACATCCCCAGTCCCCCACTTTTAAAATATTTTTTATTTTAAGACTGGGTCTCTTTGAGTTGCTTAGGGTCTCACTAAATTGCAGAGGCCTGACCTCGAACTTGTGATTCTCCTGCCTAGCCTTCTAATTCTCTGGGATTAAAGGTGTGCACCCCCATGTCTGGCTCTACTTAATCTATTTTTTTTTTTAATGGATTGTTGTGCTTTTGGTGTTAGATCTAAAACCTCGTTGGCAAACTCAAGATACTCATATTTTCTTCTGTGTTATCTTCTAGGTATTTTATAAAAGTTTTGATTTTTACACTTAGGTCTTAGTCTGTTGTGAATTAATTTTTGTGAAAAGCGTAAGGTCTGTGTCTAGATCTTTTTTTTTTTTTTTTTTTTTTTTTGACATGTGATGTCCAGCTGTGCTGGCACCATTTTTTAAAAAGATTATTCTTTCTCCACTGTATTGCCTTTGCTCCTTTTTCAAAGATCAGTTGGCTGTTATTTGTGTGGACTCTACCACTGAGCTACATCTTTCCTACCCCACTTTGTTTTAGACAGGGTCACTAAGCTGCCAAAGCTCGCCTTTAACCTTAGCTCCTCCTGTTTCAGCCTCCCCAGTATCTGGGGTTTCAGGTGTGCACCACTGCATTTTTATGTTATTTTAACCATGAATAATTTTTATCTATTATTTGCCAAGTACTATTCCTTCAGAGTTTTGTTTAATATTACAATAACCCCCATTTTATTTTCATTTTCCAGATGATGAAAATAGTTTAGTTTGTGGCAAATTCTGATAAATAAAAGCCAGAGAGTGACTGCAAGTATCAAATTAATTTATTGATGATTTCAGAGTTTTTGTTTTTTGTTTTTTTTTTGTTTTTTTTGGTTTTTTTGGGGAGAAAAATCAATAAAATCAATTTCCACATATGAAATTCCCAACCTGCACCCAGGGATTTCCTTTTCATCTAAGTTTAGAATGATAGGGGATCCTATTTAATCTGCTGTTCATTCTTGGTGCAGCCCTACAGAGTAGGTAAATTATGCTACATATTTCAGACTTTCCCTTTAGGCCAAATAACCATAGCGATCATTTAGGACTTTAGCTACTTAGAGTTTTATCCATTGGAAGTCTTTTCAGTTACCAACTGCCTTTAAATGAGAAATTATTTTTAGTGATATATCTGAGTTTTGACCTAAGAGTACTAGGGATGGGAGAATTAAAGACAATTTTGCTCATTATATGTCTAACATGTTCCTCGCAGCATATCCTTCATGTCAGAACAAATATCTTTTAAGAAGGTGGTTCCTGAGTTGAGAATGTGGCTCAAGCGGTAACGTGCTCGCCTGGCATGCGCGGGGCACTGGGTTCGATCCTCAGCACCATATAAAAAAAATAAAAATAAAGATGTTGTGTCCACCACAAACTGAAAAATACACAATATTAAAAAAAATATTCTCTCTCTCTCTCTCTAAGAAAAAAAAAGAAGAAGGTGGTTCCTGGAGTTCACTTAAAATTGTGCTTATCCTAGGGCACATCATATAATAACATAAATAATTTTATTTATTTTAAAATGTTTTGGAGAGTGAAAGTGTTGCATGTTTTTGTTGCTTTCTCAAAATTTTTATTCTGCTCATCTCTAGGATAACAAAGTGAATGGGGTAACCTGTTGTACCCGGATGCTGGGCTGTACATACCTTTATCCTTGGATTCTCCCCAAGCCCCATATATCTTCCACACCACTTACTATTCAAGATGAATTGCTGATTCTGGGAAACAGAGCATTATGGGAACACTTGTCATATATAGAAGCTATTAACGCAGTGCGTCACGTACAAGATCCATTAGCAGCTTCTAAGAAACTGTGCACATTAGCACAGAGCTATGGCTGTCAGGATAATGTGGGAGCCATGGTGGTTTATTTGAACATTGGTGAGGAAGGCTGCACTTGTGAAATGAATGGACTCACCCTCCCAGGACCTGTGGGATTTGCTGCCACCAGCACCATCAAGGATGCTCCTAAACCAACCACTCCTTCCTCCAGTAGTGGCATTGCCTCCGAGTTCAGCAGTGAGATGTCCACCTCGGAGGTGAGCAGTGAAGTGGGCTCCACTGCTTCTGATGAACATAACACTGTGGGCCTGGAGGCTGGTTTGCTTCCACGGCCAGAGAGGCGCTGCAGCCTCCACCCAGCACCCACCTCTGGGGTGTTTCAGCGCCAGCCTTCTTGTGCAACCTTCTCTAGTAATCAGTCTGACAATGGCCTTGACAGTGATGATGACCAGCCTGTTGAAGGGGTCATAATCAATGGTAGCAAGGTAGAAGTAGAAGTAGATATCCACTGCTGCCGAGGAAGAGATCTTGAGAGCTGTCCTACCCTTACAGAGAATTCTTCCACCCCATGTCCTGAGGAACATGCTAGAGGGTTGTTTTTTGGGATCCGGAGACAGAACAGTGTAAATAGTGGCATACTTCTGCCAATGTGTAGGGACAAAATGGAGTTACAGAAGTCTCCTTCTACTTCCTGTCTCTATGGCAAGAAGCTCTCCAATGGCTCAATTGTGCCCCTAGAAGATAGCCTGAACCTCATTGAAGTGGCCACAGAAGCACCCAAGAGGAAAACTGGCTATTTTGCTGCCCCTACTCAGCTGGAGCCAGAGGATCAGTTTGTTGTACCTCGTGACCTGGAGGAAGAAGTGAAAGAGCAAATGAAACAGCATCAGGAAAGCAGGCCTGAGCCCGAGCCCAGTGAAGAGGATCGGACCGAGCCCCCAGAGGAGTTTGACACAGCACTGTGATTCTGCCACTGTTGCGGGCACAGTGTGAGAAAAGGCTTTTGTGGTGTTGGGGAGGGACCCTTCCAGAGGCATTTTGCCTCTGTGTTTCTAACCAGAAATGTGTGGGGTAAAACTCAAGAGCCCAAAAAGGTGAGAGCTTTCAGGGCCTGACCCTGGATGAGCCAGTACCACCATCAGTGTTAAGTTTTGCATTTAACCTGCATTGGAATTCCCAGAGTTACTGGGTGGAAAGCAGAAGTCGTTCTCTGTCAGTCCTACCACCTGCCATTAACCCTTTCTCTCCTAGGACCATTTTGAGAATTTGCCTGCCTGGGCAGGAAAGGGACTATTTCTGTGGAGGAAATAACTGAAGGTTGATTCCCTTTACTAATTGCTGCTGATGGATCTCCGTGACAGAGAAATCACCTTATCTTTCAGACTAACTAATGGGGTGTGATGTGACTAGTCACATGGCTTTTCATTCTTCTCTACGAGAATATAGCCTATCAAAATGATGTTTATTGGAGATGTAGAACCAATCAAACAGATAATTTATGTAAGTAATGTAATGAGAGCACTTTGCATTGACTGTGAACTTTTTATTTTTGAATCTGCACTCGAGCCAATCTTCTTAGAGGCAGCCCAACAGCTTTGTCCATAGGCAGAGAGGTAATTGGGTATTGAAGCCTTCTGTGAGGGTACTTGGAAAGGCCCTGGATTGAGCTATTGGATGTCAAAGTGTGAAAGCTCCTGAGGAACATGGGGTAGAGAGGAATCTTCTTTTGGGGATAAAGCTGGGGAAGGAGCAAAGACTTCCTTCCCCATATCAGAAAAAGAGTCATTCCTTAACAGATGTGATACCCACTAGGAATGTGATTTGAGCAGATCACAAGGTAGGCACTTGGGGATTGGCCTCTTTCCCTTACCATGTGGTAGAATTGGCAGCCAGCTTCCTGACAGGCAGGGCCAACACCAGCACTGCTGGCATCCAGGAATCTTGAATTAGAGCAGATGATTCCCAAACAGATGGAGGCTATGTGAGAACAGATGGGTGGATGGAGCTCACAGGTTAGATGTGTTCCTTCTTTCTCCAAAGTGAGAAATGGTTTTCTAGAATGTTGGAAGTGAGTTGTCAAACCTTGCACTAAAGGTTTGACAATGTACCTATCTGAAAACTGCTAACTCGCTTCATGTGGTTTCAGAATACTGGACTCAATACCAATATAAGACAGACTCGAGAAATTCTTAACTTGATTTTTTCTTTCTTTCTTTCTTTTTTTTTTTTTTTGCACATTCCACATAACTCTAGCAAAATGCAATTCCTTCTGTATGTTTGTTGCTTTTTCCATTAAAAGATTTTCTTAAGCAAACTAATTCCTACTTCTAGTCCTACAAAATTTTGGCATTGCTTGATTTTACCCATTGAGTTTTGAAGTTTTAAGACATTTCATAGTTTGAAAACAAGAAAACAGAGTGGAACCATTTTTAATTTGTTTCATGAGAAACAAAATGTTAAATATAATGTTGGAAGTATATGTTAATTTCTTTGTGGGTTCTTTTTGGGAGTGTTTGGGGGGAGTTTTTGTTCAAAGCAATAGTCAAAAATTAGATGACCTGTCCACAAATAATTATGTCTCTTCATTCTCTCAGAGGCCCCATACCCATGTGCATGTGTCATTAGGGTACATTCTTAGGGAAAGTACCCCATTCTGTATACCCCATTGGCTACTTAATGTTCAACTCTCAAGAATTTGAACTTGAGTCCCCAAATCATCAAGAACACTTGACTTCCTTCTGTCAAACTACTGATCAGCTACTGAAAAAATTTAGAACTCAGGTCTTTGATTTGAAGTGGGGAATATGGTGGCTCATACAAAGTTTAGGTACTGTTAGAAAGATGGGTACAATAGTATGTTGCCACCTTATTTTTATATGGGATTGAAAAAAGAAAATGAAGGAAAAACCCAATATGTTAGTGATGGGTGATATCAAACATCTTCCTACTCAGACAGCAGAACCTTTGGGTTCTGAATAGACTAGTGAGTGATGTTGTCTAAAAATTAAAGCTATTTTGGGAAAATACCACTTTAGTAGTATAGTCTTATAAAAATTGTCATTTATCTGTGACTACTTTTCTTCTATTTGTTTCCTGTCCTACTTATTGTAACCACCTCAAAACCCAGGTCCATATTGACCTTTCCAAAAGTAGTGTGTTTGCTTTTTGGTCAACAAAACTCTGAAATTCCACATGTATTTTGATGTGGTGGAGTTATTTTCAGGTACCATTAGGTCTGATGCAAACCTCTATTATAGGATATACCAAAACTGATTATTATTTTTTTGCAACTTCCTTTCATTCATGTCCTTCTACAATTGTTCTGTAGTAAAACAGAAGGTTAAAAGGTCATAGTTCATTACCAAAAATACATACCCCATTTGACCTATGAGGTAATTGACAGATGTTGTGTTATCTGAGTAGGCTGTCAAATGAAAGCCAGAAATCTGTCTGCAAATGAGTGTCATTTTCTCAATACCTTAACTCAGAGGGTATGTTCCCCGGGTGGGCAGAGTACAGGTGATYCCTAGCATGGAGAGCCTGGTCTCTGCCTGATTCTTGGGTCTCTGCATGTACCTCCCACTTAACAGAGTTTAAGATAATTTCTGGGAAAAAAAAAACAAAAAAACAACAACTCCTGGTTATGGGTGCAGTTCAGGAGTCCCATGGGGAAAGGAAAATACATGTGGCTTGTCAGCCAAGTATCCCTATTTTTATCCAAATGGATTGGAAATACATCCGAAATTTTCAATGTTGGTATGACATAAAGCTCTAGTGCTACCATAGTCAAATCATTGAATTACCATTTCTGACGTAGTGAGGGCTTTATTATACTACTGTAGAGAGTATATGTGCAATAAGTCATTGAACCCATTTTCCTGGCGTACAGAAGAGCCAACACGAGCAACATGGCATCACTGGGTGCTATTACAATTGCTTGTAGCGAGTGCTATTTTCCAGGAGATGGAGCCAGTTACGTTTGGCAGATCTATTAAATGATGCTCTTCTTTCTATGTAGACCTTCAACAAAAGCAGGTACTTGGAAGCCACAGGCTCACCTTCTTTATCTATTCAATAACTATCAATGAAGAGACCTCCATAAGGGAGCATTTGGCTGTTAATGATAAATGTATCAATTACTAAAGAATTAGTCTCCAAGCCATCCAGTGATGTCCACAGCATCACTGTAGAACTGTCTTGTCACTTTTTACTTCCCTCTGGGTGGAGCCTTCCAGACTCCCCAATCATGGACACAAGTTATTCTTTCTTTCCAGTTAGTGACTTTGCCCCGTGGTTGGGTAAGTACTTCCTAGACTGAGAAAAGCGGCTACAGTCAAACCTGCTCTGTTTCCCTCATTTGGTGATTAATCAGCATAAGCTCCTTGTATTCTAAATCTCATGCACCTCTCCCAGATGCTGTAGGGTTTCTCTAACTGTTGCCACTGGATGTCAGCCAGACAGTGGGCTCATATCTATGGTTTTGTGCAATCATCGTTGTATTGTAGTCCTAAGACTCATTATAGTGTATTTTTGATATTTTTGAAATGTGTTAAATTTTTTAATTCAATAATATGAGCCAGAGCATGTTGCAGCAAATCTATTGTTTGTAAAAAATAATAATAACAATAATAAATAAAATAAAATGGAATATCTTTTTCATGCCTTTGTTTTAAAATGGAATGCTTGTTATTTTACAAATATTTTAGCATGAATCTAGAATTTTCTCCCTAACTTTTAGTATAGAATAGGTTCTTAACCAAAAGTAGTTTTAAGATCTTTCTCTCTTTTTAAAAATATTTTTTAGTTGTAGTTGGACACAATGCCTTTATTTTATTTATTTTTACATCATGCTGAGGATCGAACAGGGCCTCACACTCTAGCACTAAGCCACAACCCCAGCCCCTTTCTTCTCTTTCCTGCTTCAGGAAGATAAGCAAGAACAAACACGTGGAGTATATTCCATGACACTTTGAGGCTATATGAGTTAAGGCAAAATATTCTTTGAAGGGAAAGCAAGAAACGAGACAGGTAAACAAGAAATGAAAGGCGGAGACCAGGCAGAGATACACAAGAGAATTTATTTATCGGAACTGACAAATAAAAGCCATCTCTCTATAGTGGAGAGAGGGGCAAAACAGGCTTGGGTTCCAGGACTTTTATAGGGCAGGCTCAGGAATCAGAGTTGGTCCCTAATGCGGGTGGTTAAGGATTGGGTTGGTATGAGGGAAAGGTGAGCCCTTCTCAGAAAGGCCTTTGGGCAGGAAAGCAAAACTTTTTCCTTAATATGGCAGCTGTCACTTAAGATGGCCATCTAGGTGCTAAGCAAGGACCTTCTATTCTTGATCACCTTTTGTATTAGCTTTATATCACTGTAACAAAATATCTGACACAGGTTACTTTTGAAGAAGAGTTTGGGAGCCTTAGGGGCATGGCACTGGCATTGGTTCAGGTCTCAGCTGTGTCATGTCATGGTGGATGGCAATGGCAGAAATATGTTTGGGAGCCAGCAATTACATCTCACATCAAGGAGCAGAGAGAGCTGTGTGGGACCCAACTTAGGCTTTTACATAACAATCCCCTCAGAACTACCAGAGGATCCCAGGAGACCCATTTTCTGAGGACTTGTACCCAGTGACCTAAGGTCTTCCTCCCACAAGACCTCATCTCCCATTAGCGCCACCCTGTGTATCAGGCCTTCAATCACAGTGGACTCTTGGGGGACACTCGAACTACACACAAACGGCACCATTTCAAGTGAAATAGCAATAAAGGTTTTTAAGAAACATCATATCCTGACTTGGTTCATATGTTCCCAATGATGGGAAGCAGTCCTTATTTACATGAAGGTTATTAGCTGATCAGAAGAAACTCGATTATAAATGATCTGCAGCTCTTAAATAATCACAAAGTGGGTGATGACGGGCTGTGTGCAGAGTGGGCCGTCACATGTTCCACAACATAATGGCTTCATGGTAGAACTTCAGTTTAGTGGTTTTTGCTTCTAACATACTTTTAATCTACTTAGAGCCTACAAATGGGTGCTGCCATCCTTGCCCCCACTGTTGTCTCCTGACTTCCAAGGAAGATTAGCTACCTTGCTCCAAATAAAGGCCATGTTAAAGGCATTTTGCAGATTTCCTCATCTAGAGAATGAACATTTTGAAAACTTAGGTTTGACAACTGTTGCCTCAACACCTGATTACTGGTTACTACACCACCATCTACTTGAATACCCTAGTTCCATAAGATATGCCTCCCTGGTCCAGGGTGGCAGAAACATTTCTTTGGGTATGTTCTGCACTTCATACAACATTCCCTAGGACACTGAAGGCAAAAGCATGTTAGTCACCATCAGGTGATTCAGTAGATCTGAGTTCTGTCTGTTACTTGAAAGTTTTGTCATTTAGGCAAGTTATGGCACTTTCCTAAGGCTTGCATGTGCTCTCAATTCTCTCTTTCTCTCGTGCTGAGAATTGAACTGAGTGCATCATGCATGCTAGGCAAACACTCTGCCACTGAGCTGCATCCCCACCCAGTAGTTCTTATTTGTTAAGATAGTATCTGTCATCAGTCATGAACTGAGGACCCAAAGTACTTGAGCACAGTGATGTACTTGGCCCATAGCATTCAATGAAATGTTAATTATTGGGTAAAACACTTGGTCTTCTTGAACCTTGTTTTCTATAACACGTGAATAACAAATCTTGACAAGTGGTGAATACGTGCTAAAGCTTTTGAACCTTATAAAACTGTGGACATGCATGAGTATTGTTAAAGTCACCCATAAGCTCCTTTCAGTGAAGAGAGCTGCATCTCAGGAGCAGTATCCCAGCTGGGCCTGGGCACAAAGCTGAAGTCAAGTAGTCCAAAGTCCCCATTTTATCTAGCAAAAGGCCCAGCATGGGCAAAGATCATTTAACAGGGACATGATCTTTGAGAATAAACGCTAGTTGAGACCAGTGTATGTGTGCATTGTTCTCTTGAGGAGTGGGTGTTTGTTTTTTACTGCTGTTAAAATCTCTGCCACTTGGGCTGGGGATGTGGCTCAAGCGGTAGCRCGCTCGCCTGGCATGTGTGCGGCCCGGGTTCAATCCTCAGCACCACATACCAACAAAGATGTTGTGTCTGCCGAGAATTAAAAAATAAATATTGAAAACAAATTCTCTCTCTCTCTCTCTCTGTAAAAAAAAGCAAAGTTAAAAAAAAAAATCTCTGCCACTCAAGAGAAATTTGTGTGGACTCTAGTCACTGCCCCAGGCTAAGGGTGACAGGAAGCACCTTTCTGTGGCATAGTGGACTTTATTCCAACTGAGCAATAGAGATTTCCAGTTGGTTGTTTTCTTCCAAGCTTTGTTCTCTCATTTCTTTGTGAATTTTACTTGACTTTTTTTTTTTTGTCTTGGATAGGTTCATAAGAATTAGCTATGGAAAAGCAAGAGAATTTGAAAAAGACCCAGATAAAGAGAATGTGAATATTTCTAGTTGGATCTGACACAAACGGAAACATTTGAGACTAACTGTAAAGTACAAGAACAGGTATAACACTTCAGATGACAATTACTGAAAAGATGTTTAAGATTCCATGTCAGAAATCTGTCACATTATGAAGTTGGTGCAGGGGGATGAGGGTCACTATCTTCCTTGGAAGGCCTGCAAGTAGGGGAATGCAATTAGCCTTTGGAGTCTAATAAAATTAACTGCTTTGTCTTTGAAATTAGTTGAATGACATCTTTAAGAAGCTTGTGAGTTTTCTCACTATTTGGAAACCTCATGTTTAAAAAAATTTAAAATACTTCAAAATGAATTCCAGTGGATGGGAATAGAAACCCTCTTGGAATAGCTGGTAGGAAATATTTTCCCTGAGCCCCAAGGCAGGGGTCCTGAGGACCATCAAGCTTGCTGAAAACATCTCTTTCCCAGAAACCCAACTCCCATCTCTTAAAGAAGGGGGCTGCTTGGCAGTATGCAGGTGCAGGGGACACTGGTGACACTCAAACAGAAGAATTCTTCCCCTCTGGGGACAGGGGAGATTTACCCATTTAGAATTCACTCACAGCACTGCTTCACAGTCTTTCCCTGGGACCAAGCAAGGATTGCTTATTCCTTTTGACGACTCAAGATAGTTTTGACAGGTGAGATTTCTACTATAATGCTGGACATGTTACCCTCAGATGTTTTGTTCTCAGCTTCTGAAATTTCTCTGGCTAGTTGGCTATTTCTACCATTATCATATGGTKAGACAGCATCACCATCAGGGGATAGCCTGACTTCTGATATTGCTTTTTGTACTAGTTTTTTCAAGTGGTCATCGGGTCAGCCAACAGGGACATACTGATCTCCCTTTACAACAGAAAAATGAGACCATTAACTCTGCATTCATACCAAAAGAAGCACTTATAAAATTGAGTATGTGAAAACCAGTTATTTGCAGTGGCTGTGAAAGACTTGACTCTTGAGAGAGACAATGGGGTTGGGTTGACAATTATGTTCCAGAAGGTCTCCCTTAGAGCGTCCCAGACCACAGGTATTCTGGGACATCCCTGCCATTTCTCTGCTCTTCTTGGCTGTCTTTGTAGAGCTTCTGTTCCCGGTAGCTCCGCAGGGCCAGTACCACACTGGCACTGTACATAATCACCAGGAGACAAGCAAAGGTGGCTGCTGCTCCGTCGGTGCCTGCCAACTGGCAGTTCATCCAGGTGAGACCCTTGCGGGCGTAGAGCCTCTCTCTTGTTTTGCAGGTGTCCGTGGAGTTGATCTGCAATGCCACGTGGAGGTAAACGCCAATGCCTACGCAGTAGCCCACTGCTGCCAGGAGGCTGAAGGCGGCCTCCAAGAGGAGCCACTTTCTAGGCAGTTTTGTTAGGCTCTTGGCTCCTTGGAGTAAAACGCCCATGGTGAGGGCACCCAGCCCCAGAGAAACAGCCACACCGCCATATATCAGAGGCGCCCGGAGGACTGTATACTTCTGGTCCAGTTGCCGAACCTCCTCCAGCTCAGTGCCCTCAAATGGTGAGTAGTAGTTGTTTCCAAAGCCACCACCACTGGCAAAGCTGGCGCTGAATCCAGCAAGGACAAAGTAGGAGGCCACGATACACATGAGAACCATCCCGTTCAAAATCACCTCCACTATCTGTACCACACCTAGAGGAAGAGAGAGTCAAGGTAAACACTGACATCACTCACCAGGTCAGACTAGCGGATCTGCTGACCCGATTGTAAGAACACGGTCACATTCAACATCAATATTCTTGAATTGCTTGTGGTGGGTGGTTGTTTTAAAAATATGTTTGAAATATCAGAATGCCATTTTGAGAAATTTTAGGCTGTTCTTATAAATACTCCATACACATTTACCATGTATCCCTGTGACTGATAATGAGATTAAGAGATTTATCCTAAAGAAATGAAAACTTTTGTCCACAAAAGAACACATACAGTAGTGTTCATAGTAGGTTTATTTATTATTTATTGGTGCTGGGGATTGAACCCAGGGCCTTGTGCATGTGAGGCAAGCACTCTACCAACTGAGCTATATCCCCAGCCCACAGTAGGTTTATTCATAATAGCCCAATACTGGGAACAATCCCAGTGTCCTTCAGTGGGTGAACAATTACACAGGTACACTCATGCCACAGAATGCACTGATGAGCAATAAAAAGGAATGAGCTGTTGACATAGACAACAACGTGGACAAATCTCAAGGGAATTATGATGATCGAAAAAAAGCCAGGCTCAAAAGGTTACATACTGAGTGAGAGGAAAAGGAGATGGGTGTGGCCATAAAAACACCAGGGATGTCTGTGATGATCGGGCAGCTCTGGACGGTGGTGGTGGTAACCACAACCTACATGTGAAAAAACTGCATAAAATACATACATTGTTTATAGTTATACAAGATGTAACACTGGGGAAAATCAGGTTAAGGGCACACAGGCATTTCTCTGTACTATTTTTGTGACTTGTGAATATAGCAAAATGATTTTTTTTTTTTTTTGTGGTGCTGGGGATGTAAACCAGAGCCTTTTGCATGCTAGACAAGCACTTCACCACTGAGCTGCATCTCTAGCCCAGCATAAAAAGTTTTAAAAAACAACATAAGCATTAGCTGGGCACAGTGGTGCACACCTGTAATCCCAGTGGCTTGGGAGGCTGGGGCAGGAGGATCTCAAGTTCAACAGCAAATTAGTGAGACTGTTAAAAAAAAAAAAAAAAAAGGTGGGGGAGGCTAGAGATGTGGCTCAGTGGTTAAGCACCCCTAGATTCAATCCTCACTACCAAAACCCCCTCAAAAAACAAAACCAAAAAACAAAACTTACACATAAACTGAGAAAGTCCATTCAAGTCTCTACACATGGTTCTCTATCCTTAACCACTTAAGTTTCCATTACAATTGTCCAGTGTTCCTTTATACAAATAAAAGCATACACAAGTCTGCATTTCATCCCTTCTCTGGCTTTTTTCACAAAAGTGTACCATATTCGCAGGTCTGTATTTGCATTTTGCATTTACTATACCCTACCGCTCTCTCCACATCAGTTTCTACAGAATGACCACATTCTTTGTGCATGGCCTCCAACTCCATTGTATGGATGGACCAGTCTGTTCAAGCAGATGGATCCTGATGGATACTTGGACTGTTCACTTAGTGGTGCAGAGTGGGGACAGTGTTCTTCTTCTTCTTCTTCTTTTTTTTTTTTTTAATATTTACCCTTTAGTTTTCTGTGGACACAACATCTTTATTTTATTTTTATGTGGTGCTGAGGATCGAACCCAGCGTCCCGCGCATGCCAGGCGAGCACCACGGCTTGAGCCACATCCCCAGCCCCGGGACAGTGTTTTTTTTAAGTTTAAGGAATCCACAAATGCTGCAAGATAGTAAGAGCCAACAGAGACTGAATATCTTCTTGTCTGAGCTTAGCTTTCATCTGGTACCAACAGAGGTCCCAGACTCTTCTGAGGAGAATGTCTGTTATCATTTCCTTGGGATTCAGAGGTGAGAAAGAAGGGAAATGCAAATGGACCTGGAGTGGGAACACCAGGTTCAAGTCCCCACTGTTTCCTGCCTTGTGATATTGCCCATGTCATTCAGTCTTTCTAAGCCTCAGACACTTTATCTGACCAATGAAGACAAGGTTTCCAGTCTTATCCCACAAGGCTGTGGTGAGGGCCAAGCACAGTTGGCCTTCCATACCTTCAGGTTCTGCATCTACAGATTAAACCAAGGATTGAAAATATTTGAAAAAAAATTTAACTGTACAGAACATGTAGACTCTTTTCTTGTCATTATTTCCTGAACAATACAGCAAAAATGACAATTCCCATGGCATTTGCATGGGATTGGGGATTGTAATTTTTAAAAAAATACTTATTTTTTAGTTGTAATTGGACACAATGCCTTTTATTTATTTATTTTCATGTGGTGCTGAGGATCGAACCCAGGGCCTGGAACATGCTAGGTAAGCACTCTACCGCTGAGCCACAACCCCAGCCCCTGGATTGTAATTAGTCTAGAGATGATTTAAAGTATACAGAGAATATGCATAGATTAGTTGCAAACACTATGCCATTTTATACAAGGGACTGGTACATCCTTAGATTTTGGTGTCCACGGAGGATTCTGGAACCAGCTCCCCTGTGCATACCAAGGGATGACTGTCTCTGAAAATCACAGGTTATTGTTTCTAAAATGTAAATTGGTGAGAGGCTTAAGAAATGGGACAGATTTATTAAGAGTGTTGTTTCCAGAATTAAGACAACCATCAATGACATAGGTGGCACAGTGAAGTCTATAATCTGGGCAGCTAAAGGACATGGGCGACAATGGGCTTGCTATTCCTATCTCCTGTGGGCCCACACGAATTCCTGAAGGTCCAAGAGACACAGCAGTCATGGGCTCTCACTTGAGAAGCTGCATTCTTTTAATTTAAAAATCCAAGTAACATCAGACCCAAACTGCCCAAGATACAGGAAATATGACCATTTTCCTTCTGGAACAGATTCTTCCAAACCAGTGGAGTCCTGATCCATATACCACACATCTGCTGGGCTGAAATGGAATAAATCTAGCTCTTGTGAATCACCCTACTGACAGCAACAACTGAGAGGGATAACAGCTGACTTCTGGGTCTAATGATATTGGGTCTGTTGAAGGAATATGATCATGTATTATTGTTCCAGGAACCAGCCAAGCCTGAGCTGGCTTAGCTACCAATATCAAACAGGTTCAAGTATTTTTAAGCAAGCTGCTAGGGCAGAAAGAGACACAGGCTCCAGAGAAATATGATAGGGATGACCACCAGAGATAGCAAGTTGGGATGGAACAAGTGTTCAGAAAGACAGCATAGAACTCTGTAGAAGTGTAGACTCAAAAACTCACAGATCTTTGCTATAAATAGCATCTTTCTGGGTAAGGCTGTTTTTGTGGCTGGCCATTTAATACCCCTTAATCATACATCTACTTCTGCCTTTGCACTATAAATTTAATTTTTAAAAAAACAAAGATGGAGGAAAGCAAATCCAATTTTTAAATTTTTTTTATTTTTCTAAAATGAATACATGTTCAGTCATGTATAAAATTAAAAATTAAAAAAAAAATCCCCTTCTTTCTACAAAACTGTTAATACTTTCTTATGTATTATTCAAGAAATTTGACAATCATACACATACATGTATCTGAACTTCCTTTTCTAAACTCAAACTTATCTTCTAAATGCAATAAACTGTCCTTATTCAAGAAAATGATATAAACATATTTTAAAGAGAACCATCATTTTGAAATTCAAATTTTTCTTTGGATTTTTTTGTTTGGATTCACATAAGCAAAGAATGGACTTGTACCAAGAATATATTGTAATGTTCCATAAGTCATTATTCCATGTGCAGTAAAAACCCATGAAGTTGTCTGGCCAAAAGCGACACTCTTCTGTTGGGAAGGATTATACATTCTTTTCTTCTGGATGGATCCTGAATTCCAGACCTCAGGTTTAATTCTTCATACAATGATACATTTAGGAGAGGTACAAAACACTTATTGAGTTTTCCAGCCATTGTGAGGGGCTTACAGAATAGCTTCTTTGCAACCCAGTGAGTTAACTGACTCCTCTTTGCCCAGCTCACGCCCGCTTGCAACTTAAATTTTTCAGAGGTAGCTCTTCTGGAAGCCCTGCCCCCTTTTCCCGGTGAACTGTGGCAGCGGAAGGACTATGGGCTATCTGCTGAAGACAGCTGTATCCAGAACAGTTCAGGCTAAAGTTGTCTCCTGCCTCTGTGACTTCTGATGAACTCTGAAGATAAGGTACTTTCAATTCGCTTGGTTATTTTCCCTCATTTAATCAAGAACTATACTTCTTTCTCTGTCTCTTTTAGTACTGGGGAATGAACCCAGGGGTGTTTTACCACTGAGCTACATCCTTGGTCCTTTTTCTTTTATTTTGAGACAGGGTCTCACTAAGTTGTGAGACTGGCTTTGAATTTGCAATCCTCCTGCCTCAGCCTCCAGAGTTGCTGGGATTACAGTGTGTGYCACTATGTACCACATGCCTTTCCCCTGTGAGTCCTGGATTCCAGGCTTTATATATTTATTTATTTTTAAAAAATAATTTTGGTTAGGGGGCTGGGGTTGTGGCTCAGTGGTAGAGCGCTTGCCTAACATATGCAAGGCACTGGGTTTGATCCTCAACACAACATATAAAAATAAATAAATAAAATAAAGATCCATCAACATCTTAAAAAAAATTTTCTTGGTTACTCCCTCAATAACAGAGGATTCCAAAATCCAAAGTTGGTTGTGCCAAAGAATGCTGCTTCACACAACTGGGAGCTAAGCCCACTTCTACTGAAGTTGGCTTGCTACTTTTGAAGTTCTGGCAAGTTTTACAACAAAGAATTCTTACAAAAGATGGTAGTTCAGAGTAATTTCCATCACTTATATTTGGTAGAATGTTTTAAGAAGCCTAAAACACCAACATTTCTGGAGGCTTCTCTTTCAGTTTTTTGACTTTTAGGTAACCCCTGATGGCTAGGACAGCTCCCACAGCAAAGACCCCAATACCCAGGGCTGTGAAGACCCCAACTCCTATATCTCCACCATGGAAACTGCAGCTGAAGCCACTGTACCCTTTGCTTTGGTACAGTGCTTCCCT